ATTGTGATTTATTTGTATAATATGTTATATTAGATGATTTATAGACTTCATAATGACTCTGCAATGTGACATCTATTTTATTTATTCTAAGTTAAAGTTAATCTACTGATGCTATAAACAGCCAGTCTGTGTCAAAGTGATGAATTTATCTTTATTTTAAAAGTCTTAATTCCCCCTGAAAATGAGAACATCATGGTTGTTTGATGCGGTAGCGCACAGATTGTTTACATTGGGACCGGTCTAACTAGGGAGTACCAATATGGCGGCCGGTAGCTTCACTTCAACCCCGTTCTACCAATGGGCAATCAGTGATTGTTCTGCAGGGGGCGCTCTGACCACAGGCGGCCATCTTGCTCCAGGCTGCATGGATCCAGTAAAGCAGACCCACATCATCACACTTCCTCCTCCATGTTTCACCGCTGATTTCTGTGGTACCAGAAGAACTGCTTGACTGAACCGGCAGGTGAGGAACACCTGGTGGCAGAACCAGGTCTGGACCCGCCTCCATAGCTGCTCTGCAGCTTTGTGTTGTTCAGGTTCCTGAGCAGCAGATAAACGCCACATTCATGCCGAACAGAACCTTCTCCCTGTAGAACCGGGTTCAAACAATAAACAGATTATCACAATAAACTTTATTTTTCCTTCTCAGTTATTAAGGTTTAACAAAAGGTTTCCTTAGAAACGACGATCCAGTCCAGTCTGGTTCTGAGCCGGTCCAGAGATGAACACATGATCCGGATTCTAAACGCTTCGTCCTTTAATCGGCTGAAATCAGTGAAGCAGAAGGTCAGCGGCGGTCTGACGTCCTCCTGGTCCAAAAGGAAGCGATGTCTGAACAGCTGAGGTCCATTTGGAGTAAAAAAAAAAAAAGTCTATTTGTTCAGGTTTTCCAGCAGGATTTCAGCTCCTTTGTTGTTCTTGGTTCTTTGGAGCTCGGCGGAGATGGAGCGGAGCGCCTGCTTCACCTCGGCTGCCACCGATCGCTCACAGCTGTTCAGGAGGCTGCAGAGAGAAACAAACAGACGTCACAGAAAACCCAGGAGAACCAGAACCTGACAGACCAGAACCAGGCTGGAAGAACTGGGAAAACTAAAGCTGGATCCGTGGAACGAACCGAACCGGCCGTCTGCTAACAAACTCCTTCTGGTCAGAACCGACCAGGAGCTTCAGAACCAAGGTTCTACTCCATGTTCTCTAAGCTGCATTCTATCACACAGGTCAAATTGTACGCATCGCTCTGATCCATGATGGAAGCTGCTTTCAGAACCACATACTAATGCTACGTTCAGACGGACCGCAGCAGGAGCAGCAAGAATGCGCGTGCTGCTTCATTTTTGATATTTGTAAAAGTTTAGCTCTAATGTGCGGCTGAAGCATCTTTGCTGCTCTAGCTGCGCGGTGGTAAAGTGGGTCTGATGCGCGGTGGGCGGAGCTACCCTATCCTTTCTCTGCCTGGAACAATGGCGGCTATATTAGCTGTGATCAGCGGGTAGAAAGTAGTTAGAATCTATGTTGAAGTGAGAAAGTCCTCCTGAAAACATGGTCTGTGCAGTC